CTGTGGCAAGAAAGGCTGTAAAATGGGGCAAAACGTAATAACTGTCTTGCTTAACAATAGAAATGTTGAGCTCAATTGTGGCCATCTAGTTGAGGACTACCTGTACTTCCTCAACAAAGGGCCAGATTTGATTTTGCAAATCTTCTCTTTGTCATTGCCATTTTGCAGGTCAAGAAGGTAAAGTCTGACTGAAGCTGTGTGTTGTTTTGTACCAAATTAATACAGCAAATAAAATCTGTAGTACCCAAAGAAATGCCCAGGGCCAGAAGAGATTTACATCAATATTTAGAGCCGGCTACCTTGGAGTGCTGTTCCTTTAACTTCATTATTATACCCGGATCGTCTTTTTTGCTGGCCATGAGCAATCTAAACATCTGTTCTCTATATTTGCTCATTATTAGCTCCAAGGCACACTGATGTTCTTCGAGAGATGTTCGGAGTTCTGTCAGAATACATAGCAAATTTAACATCCACAGGTATTTTTATTTATCTATTAAATTTCTATACAACCCTCCCTTCTATTTGATAAATAGAATCAAATAGAACCTTGGTTTCCTTTAACTATCTCATGAAGGAAAAAAAATCTATCTGTGCAGATAATTCAAGTACTGTGAAATATATCAGCAATTTCGAAATTTTTTATTTGTATGGACTACTATTTCTTCATCATAAAGAGCATGATACCATGCACGAAAATAGTTTAGTATTTTGCAGCATAACATATGGCTAATGGAAGCTAAAGGGGTTATTGAAAAGGCAAGCTATGCTATAATTAGAATAGCATTCCTAATAACCTCTGGCAAAGACTGTCATTTAAATTGATAAAATATTACATTATAAAAATATTTGTAATGCAAATTACATTGGGAATAATAATGCAATGTCCAGGTGTTTATTATTCAGATCTAAGTCCCAAGTACTTGGGCAAATATGTTTGCCTGAATTCAAAAGGAAAATGTTCTTGATCCTATGCTGCTGCTGAGGGAAAATACCTGGCTCCCTTAAAGAGGGCCAACAACCATAATAATTTGCCTGCTTTTAGCTCCAAATACTGCATGCTTCCAATGCCGTGTTAAGAATGATACATTAAAATGTATAGCTCTTTGCTCCCAATACACACACACTAAAGCACCAGAAGTTGGAAGTAATTGTAACAGATGCTTCAGGTATTTTACTGGCTTATGCACACATTATAATAGGAAGATGGAGTGATGTATTATTGCAAGCTATTAAGTATTTGGCTATTCTAATAAAGCACACTGAATTTTAAAGAGAAATCTTGGACTATTTTGATAGTAAACAGGACTCTTCTTAAACTGAATGTTTATTAACCTTTATTTTCTTGTTGTAGTTCTCTGATCTGTCTATTTTCCTGCTGGATACCTAAGACCAAGGAAGACCGAGGCCTGTGTCTTGCTACTTCGTTAAGTTCTTGAATTTCTTCCTGGTACTGAAATCATAAAAAAGACAGAATGGCAAAAAATTAAGATATCTAGCATTAAAAATGAAGATGAATTTCAATTTCAAAACCAGACATTTTAATACAATAGAATTAGTACTATGAATCCATAAAAACTTTGTCTTTATATTTTTCAAATGTGAATTTAAAAACTGAACACTTGAACAACTTAACCATAAAATACAGAATATTTGAAATAAAAATCCATCTCAGTAAAACTGAATTCATTAAAATGTCTGCTGTCTGAAGTTACCTATGAAAACATTAACATACTGTAATCACATTACAAATTGTTCTGTTTGCTGTAAATATTAAAAATATTGCAGCAGCTTAAAAAACACCAAATTTACCACTGCATAGGTGAATATTGTAATATTGCTTAAAATTAAATGCAAAAAAGTCTACAACTTAAACACATTCATCTGGCAGCTTCTCTAATTAAGAGGTGGACATCAGGTTTTAATGGTATCATTTCAGATGTTGGAGAACAGGTTTGAACTAATTTTGGATTACGTCATGCTATGTATTGCTGTTCATGTTTACATTCTTGGTTCATAGTAAGAACTAAGGAATCTAATCAGAATTGAGCAATAAAATGCAAAACAAGTTCCATTTTGAAAGTAAATACATGAGGATTTATAAAATTAGGTATTACAGAATAATTTAACTAAGAAATTTTAAAATTTCAAGCTTTTTCCTCCTCTTAAAAAGTGAAATTAATCGTAATGCTCACACAAGAAAGTTAATTCAATATCTTACAGCCTTATCAAAACAAAAAAGGGTAGAACTGAATGTTTTGTTCTTTTACGTCTGCACATTTTAAAATACCATAATGAAGCAGTCAGTTTCTGAATAATAATTAAGAGAGAAGGGAAACCTGTTTCATTGCTTCCACTCGTTTGTTGAGATCGGTAGTTTGTTCAATGAGAGCTTCTGCTGCAGTGTCATGCTCTCTTAGTCGCTCCACTAACGCTTTGGCATCAGCTAGGGCCTTCTCAATTGTGCAACTCATTTCTAAAAATTAAAATAAGATAATGTTATACAATACCAGCTACCCTTCCACTTTGTCAGTTTGTCAGAAGCAGCGTAAGATGCCTGGCATCCTGAACATGTAGATTGAATGATGAGAATGTGTGAATCCTCTTCCTTTTGTTAATGTCACTGAAGGTTGACTTTCTCCTTTACTGTATTATTCTATAGTATAGTATATCAAGTATCTTGATGCAATACAGAAGCAAGATTAATGGACTTCTGCGCAGGATTGCCTTAATTTATATCCCTTGTAAATCACAGCTCTTGGAAAAGATAGTGCCATGCTTCCAATCTGGAAGTCCTGTATTTTGAATAGAATATTAACTGTCACCCTACATGTTCTGAAACTCATCGTATTGGGAAACCTTTTAATTTTTGAAACATTGTACATATTGTATAAATATGTAAGACCTCCTGCTGATGCCCCTACATTGAATAAGGCTTCTGCGCTGACTAAGTATACTATATGTCAATAACAATGCAACAAATCCTTTGCATCCTTATAATACAACATAAGAATTAGGGGAAGCTTTAATAGGTTTTGATTTCTCAGAAGAAATCTATTGCTCGTAGTTATTGTACCCTTGCTAAATAGTGACACTGGTAAAATACACAAGCAATTCAGGCCACCCTTTTCTGTTCAAAGGTATTATTTGTCACAAAGCAACTGCAGCAACAAGAACCTACTTTACAAATGACACTGCTAATTTAATATTTCCTGCCTGACACATATGTATGTATAGAGTTTTCATAACAGAAAAGGAAATCACAAATGAGTTTTTAAATAAAGCTCCTAAATTTAATAACTTTCTGCAAAAGTTTTCTTACTGTTCTAGGTATCTATTGATTTTCTGGGTTTCCTTGTTTAGAAATTAATTCTCTTCACTGATCATTGATCGCTTTCTCACAACACACTCCACCAGGCTAAGAAATAAAGGGGGATGCGGAAACACCCAAGCCCTGTTAAAGAGGGAGAGGAGACTCAAGCTCGTCCCACCTCTTGCCAGGCCTTTCTCCCTTCAGACCTGGGCCAGGATGGAGGGAATTTAAAACTTAGAATATCTTTATTGTCAGCTTATACTAATCGGCATACATGAAAATGAAATTTCATGGCATTCGGCTCGCAACCTCCAATATACACTACATAAACATGACCAATAAATTAAAAAAATGATGCATATACCCACATCCCCATATATATTATATGACACAGGGCCGTGACCAATAAATACATAAATAAATAAAACAATACGTGTATACTCACATCCCCACATACATTATATGACACAGGGCCAAGACCAATAATTAATGTATTGATTACGCATACCCCCACATATATTGTATGACACAGGGACATGACTAGTAATTAATTATGCATATCCCCACATACATGACACAGGGACATGACCAATAAATAAATAAATAAAAATATACGTATACTCACATTTCCACATACATTATAAGACAGAGGGACATGNGTTCAAATCTCACCGGCTCAGGGTTGACTCAGCCTTTCATCCTTCCGAGGTGGGTAAAATGAGGACCCGGATTTTTGGGGGCAAATATGCTGACTCTGTAAACCGCTTAGAGAGGGCTGAAAGCCCTATGAAGCGGTATATAAGTCTAAGTGCTATTGCTATTGCTTTCGTCGAGCGCGCTTTTGTCTACCGCGGTTTTGTGGTGGAACCGGTTTTCTTCAGTGGCGATAACTGCTATGAAACACAGGATTTCATTTCTCCAACTCTTAACTGTTGAAACATCTACCCAACCCGGTTTTACTGGTAAAAATAAGTTTACTGTACAGAATGCATTCTCACCAGCATTTGCAATACAAAAATGAGATAGAAAATGGGCATGCCAAACACACGAGGGAAAGGAAATGGTAGGTACGCCCCTTGACAAATTCAGGTTTCAACTAGATGACCACAGTAAGTTACACATACAAGTTATTTTTTCAAGCATGCTTCCATAAATAATTCTTGGTGAGCTAATGACATCTATTTCACAAACTTGAAAGATTCCACATTTACATAGTAAGGTTCTGAGGAAGACTGCATTTTGACAGTGCTGCATCCAGTGCACAACGGAAAGTTTTTACTTTACACACCAAATATCAAGAAAATATTTTCTGTTAACTCCTATTTACAAACAGTTTAGAATTTACAAAGGGGGACACATATCTGAGAAATTCTCACCTAGAGAAGGAAAACATGTTATACAAATTCTTGTGCTCAGCCTTAACTTTTGTCTACAGTTTGCTTTGTAAAGTTAAGATTTCATCTAAGCAAAAATTATGAATAAATTCCTTTTTATTGAGGTATTTAATGAACTGGGTATAGATATAAACATCTGAACATTGAAATTAGCAATTTATTTTGAGCAGCTCATTTTTTGAAAAATAGTGGCATTAATATACATAAGCTGTGGAAAGTATTTTAAGACTGGAATGCCAGATAATAAAAATTATCTAGAAGTATGTCTAGAGTTCAGCTACAGATATTTGTTGGCTAAATATGCCCTATAATTTTGAATGAACTACTATGCTAAAAATATTTACCAATAAAAGCATAATAGTAGGTCACAGTTTAAAATCAGAATTAAATAGTTGCACAATAGAACTATGATTCTCCCCAGCCAGCATAATAAAATTGTTGGTAAACTCTTAATGAGCTTAACAAAACTTCTAGGAACAACTTGGGAAAAACATGACAAGACATGCAAATTTGATCCCAAATTCTACCACCAAGTGTTATTCCAAGCAAATTTGAGAATTTAACACATTTCCCTTCCATTTTTAATTTTATGTACATTCCTTGAATAAGTGGGAAATAATTTCAGGATTGAGGTCTATAAATGACTAATAGAGGCTTACTTTTTTAGCCAAGCTCCCTGAAGACTAGAATCTCTTCTTACAAAAATGCATTTGATCATTTTTAAAAAGTTTCCGCTTATCAAGACAAATGTATCTGTTTTTCCATGTCGTTGTTAGAACCATGATTTATTTGCCAGGCTGCCCCACGTACACACAAATAGTGGCTCAGTCGCTTATTAAAATCTAAGGTTAAGGTTTATTCTTAAAGAGACACTTGCCTTAATTCCCAAGTACCCTTCGTGCATGGAAGCAAATTAGGAAAGTAACTATCCTGGTTTTTTTCTTTCAACTGATAAGATACTCAACTTCCTAATAAGTCATTCTGCAAATTCTGGGATAGCTTTCCAAAAAAGAGCTACGATGTTTCATAGGCTAGGAGTAAAAAAAAAAGGATAAAGGCATCTAAACCCATTGTGCGCATAAAGCCCCACTGCTTTTAGCTATCGACATGAAGCATTTCCCATCCCTTAATTGGATAATTGTTATCTCCAAAAATATTCTATAAAACTCTCAAGAATTTCATACGCGTTTTTTTTAATTCACAGGATATCTCACACGAAAGCACATATGAACCTCAAATTATTTACATACAAGTTAATGACTCATCTTGACTGACTGAAAGATAAGAAAAAGTTCTTGCATGTTTATGCTAAAACATGATGTGGAATCTGTTAAATTTCATAGGGATCTAAACAGATTTTTTTCTTTTGTAATTTCATCATAATATTTCCCATCAGTTACTGATTGTAAAAGAATATATTTCAGAAATACTTCAGTGTGCAAAAGTTCCCTTAACGTTTATTGCTTACTGACTGATCTTAACACATCCCATTACTCCCTAAATTTTGAGAAGAGCTAAAAATACTTAACATTAACAACAAATGTCAGTAAATTTCTCACCAGCCCCGCCATCTTCCCCATGAAATTATCTTTTTTAAAAGATGCTGTTATTCTTGTGGAATTATTTGTATTTAAAAATGAAGTTCCTGCCCATATGAAAGTTTCAAGTGTTACACTAGCAATGCACTAAAACCGAATTCTTACAAAACAACCCCTCAAATTTAGGAAAGCAACAATTTAAAAACATCAGCAATACAGTGACTGTGTCCTGGAGCAGATCAATTACTGTATATGACTGTGCTTTGAATCTTTTCCTCCACCAATCGCTGAGTATTATATTCCATACATGGTGTAAAAGGATCAACCGGGTTTAGGGTGTATTAATGTCTCAATGCCCATTCGAAAATCTCTGCTTTGATACTTCTTGCTGTTACAACCAGACGGTCTTCGTAAGAGCTTTAATTTTTTCTCAGACTCAAGTCACTGTTTGTTACTAGTGCTGACAGAGATGTACTTTCTGAGGCATCTTCCTTAAGATTCAGGAACGATTCTCTGGTTATCTGCAGTATTTCTCTCAGTCCTTTGTTTTCCTGCTGTAAGCAACAAAACAATGCTTTTAAAGCGGCACGACAAAGAATTAAAATGCTCTTCCCCTTCTCAGCACTAAGTTGTTGTTTCTCTTCCCTTAATGGCTTCTGCAATCATTCATCAAGGTTAGCCACACATTCCTCTACAATCCCCTCCCTTGAAGTGGTGTTGACGTCTCATCCTTGAATACCAGAGTACCAGTGTAGTTGCACCCAAGTTAAGTGCCTTTTACTAGAGTTACTCATTAGAAGCCACGAGGGCACAAAGATTTTCACAGGAAGATTTCCGTTTTCTCAAGCATATGGAAAAGTACTAAAATTAAAGACTATGCNATTTTATATATATAAATAAAATCATCCATAGTGGAGCCTAGTAGATTTAGGTGTTTCGTAATTTGAGCGTTCTCTCATTTGTTAGCTTTCGAAAGCTGATTTATACAGGGAATCCTTGATTTATGTGCAACCACAGTTGAGCCCAACCTTTTAGCAGAGAAGCTTCTTGGATGAGAAGCCAGAAGTCTTCAAGGGGAAACCGAGGAAGTCAGAGGCGCTGTCCCGCCGGTTTGCATTGGTTTGGGCTGGATAAACAAATGGACCTTTGACCTTAAAAGGGGAGGTGGAAACATTATCACTCAGTGCTGGCAAATCTTTTCAGCACCAAGTCCCAAAACAGGAGGGTCCATGCGCGCATGTTTGCCAGAAACTGGAGGAGCAGCCGCCTGGTGTGTGCATGCAGAAAACCAAACTTTCCTGGTTTCTGCCGCTCCGGTGTGCACGAAGACCAGCTGGCCGGCGCACCGGAACCCGGAAGAGCAACGGGCGATGGCTCGTGTGCCGCAGAGATGGCTCTGCATGCCACTTCCGTGTATCGTAGGTTTGCCGTCACTGTTCTAACTCTTGCGCGTCTTCCTCTTGTAGATATTATCCTCCTGGCCGTTTGGACGATGCTAGCCCTCGGGGGAATCACCGTCCAGTTGCGCCGAGAAAGACACGAGGCTCCTTTCCCGCCACACCCGTATCGGTTATGGAAGCGTGAGAGAGAGCGCAGAGTCACCAACGTCTTGGATCCCAGCCACCACGTCCCTCCCTTGAGAGAGAGGATCCTCAACCAGCTGTCCCAGATCAAGGACCTCTTCCAGAAAGAGCAGGCAGCGGGCGAAAGAACGCCGCTGCTCTTATAAACCGACTCGCGGAGGGGAAGACTTGAAGAAACGCGGATGGATGGACACGGGGCACGGAAACCACGGACTTTCTCAGTGGTCTTTTCCACCCCCACCGAGCTGGAGAAGAATCCAAGGTTGTCCCAAGACAAATCTACTTCTATTTTGTTCTCAAGCGCTGTAACAGCCAGGAACTTTTGGTCTGTAATTTTATCTTTGATAGAAAAAAACAACAACGTGTAAAGTTATCGGGGGCAGGAAGGGTAGAATAGAAAGGTAGATGAATAAGCTGCGTGTGCAACTTTCAAACTTCAGCGTCCCGAGACAGAAAATGATAATTTTCAGATTCACGGGCCTGTCTTCACAAGTCCCAAAAGGACTTGGGAAATTTAAGTTTTCTGAATAGGATGTGCAAAGTGTTGGGTAAGGGGGGAAAAATAATAATAATAATTGTGGCCTTTGTGCTCTTAGCCATTAACTTGGATGACTAGTGCTAGTAAATTAACAGGTTTCAATTGTCAACGCAGCACTAAAAATGGAATTTTCCTTGGATTGCGTTTACTAGTTGTGTGCGAGAGACGAACAAAACATTTTAACTTTGAGATAGGGAAGGAGGACTGGCTTTTCTCAAAAGCCTCTAGCAAAACTCTTAATTAAAAAAAAAAAAAGGCTAGAAAAGTGAATTATCTCTGGAATCGAGTGCTTTTTAAAAAAAAAAAAAATTAAGAATAACCTGTAACTTATCTCAGTGTTTCTCAACCTTGGCAACTTGAAGATGTCCGGACTTCAACTCCCAGAATTCCCCAGCCAGCATTCGCTGGCTGGGGAATTCTGGGAGTTGAAGTCCGGACATCTTCAAGTTACCAAGGTTGAGAAACACTGACTTATCTAATGATTTTTAACAGTAGTCCCTTTTTCAGATTGGCTGCTGTTTGTTTAGAATTAATTGGCTCCAAAATATATTTTTCTCTATTTTTATAAGATAAAAAAAAACTAGTACGTCGAAGCATCTTTTTGATACTCCGCTTGAAAAAATGTTAAAAAAAACAAAACAATGAAATCAATTTATTTCTTACCGTAAGCGGAAGGGGCGAGGTTTTTTAAAAACACGGTTTAATGCCGTTTCTCTTATCCCCTGTGGTTTATATTCAGCCTCAGGGAAACCAGGTCTTTTTTCAAATTGAGTATACCTATGTAGGTTAGTTGTGCAGATCCAGATTCCTAATTATTTTACCCCGATTATTCTGGACAGCTATCCAGAGCATTTCTGCAATTTTGGAGGATGAAGAAGTGACCCAAGAGAAGTGCTCAGTTTTAATTTATTATGGGGGGGGGGGAAACCACGTGTAAATGATGTTAAGTTATATTCAGACCCTGCTCAGTGGTGGAAATGTATTGAGAAATCCCATTTTTTTTTTAATTGGGATTTTATGATGTGTCTAAACTGTGGAACCAAGTTCCTGAATCTTCTGGAGCTTAAATTTTCCGCAGATAAAAATCCTCCTTCTTTTTCCCAGGTGTGAAAGCTATTCCTATCAATTCAATAGGCTTACAGATTTAATGGTAGCCTCAAAATGCTTTCCCCCCCCCCTAGTGCAGATGGACAGTGTTTATGAGATGATGAAACTTTTTTTTTTCCATCTCCCTTTTCTGTTTTAAAACTATTTGTTGCGTTGATCGGTTTCTTAGGCTGTTGACTCCTGTTGAAGCTCCATGTAATTGGAAACCTGGGATTGGAAGTGCGTCTAAAATGGGTCGAATAGCACAAAATTGCAGTGATTTCCCCATCCACAAATAAGTGCCTAGCCAAACCAGTCGGGGCCTGTTAAATCCGTTCAAGGGACGATACGCCTTCTATTTTTCTTGGGGCAGAAAAGAAGCAGTTTATTGCTTTGCTAACTCGCCCTTTGTGTCCACATAGGCGGCAGATAAGAGGCTGCGGAACAGATTGTGCCGCAGCTGTATCGTAGGTGTCAAGTCCTGGAAAAAAAATGTAAATTTTCAGACCGGTTATCTTTGTGGTGTCTTTCTGCTGCCTTAGAGTCTGAAACGGTTCCACGGATGGCAGTGACGGTTGGCAGTTTTTGAAGACGTAAAGCCATTCTTGTCTTTGGCCTTCAAAAAGTATAAACCTGAAATCACTGTAAATGCGAGCGATGGCTTTGATGTAGGTCCATCATCTGTAGCAGCTATTCGTAGGTCAGCTGCATTTTAAGGTTGGAAAGTGAAGATTAATCCACATGCCTCCAGCGGCTTGATATTGCAAGCTACGTTTGAGTGCTGGGATGAATTGCTGCACCTGATGGAATGGTACTCGGGAATCAAAGCCATTAGCTGCTTTTAACGTGCTATAATTGACAATACAAAAAAGCAAGCAAAGTCACTCAATCCCTTTTTATAATAAATGTGACGTTTCAAATGGAAGTGAGAGCGGAGTGTTTTTTCTTCCACACTACTAGCCCTATCTTGCCTTTTACCTAGAGAGACTTCATGCTTTCCAGTCCAGAAGAAGAGCGAAGTGTTCAAAGCCACCTTGATATTCCAAAGGGACTATGGAAATAAAGTGACTCATTTGGGTTTCATTTAGGAAGAACTTCCATAGGAGGACAAATGTGTAAAAGGGATCTCACTGGCATCTCAAGACTGGATTATTGTAACGCGCTCTACATGGGGCTGCCCTTGAAGAGTGTTNGCATTAAAAATCAGCTGTCCTATTTATTCACTAAATGCTTATTGGCAGATCATTTGGGGAAACGAGATGCTGCCTCGGACTGAAATTTTATGAAATTTATTGATTCTTCGCTCTCCTATAAGGTGACGATTCCTTCATCCTGTAACCCACAGCAGGGTTATCTTTTTTAGAAGGAACTCAGTTCGCGTTATGCTTTCCCCAAACAGTGGAAATATTTGGGCAGTGTGGGTTGTGTCATTACAAAATTGTAATTATTAAATGTTGTTATATACGCTATTCAGGTGAACTTCATTGTAAGCGACTCTGGAGCAAATGTCTTAAACTCTTGGAACCAGGAGGACCAAAACTTGCAGGAGGTAAATGAAATTATTAAAGATCTCCACAGTTGTTGTCACTTCACAAACCAGGCAGATGTTGGCTTCAAGCAGAGTTAGATTCTCCTAAAAACAAAGGCTAAGTCAGCCATGGCTTAAATTCAACTAAATCTAAATCCCAGGCAGTCAGTTGCTATTCTTCAGCAGAGTAGGACGTTTACCAAGAGAGCTTAAGAAGATGGCTTTAGGTTTAGAGAAGAAGGACTAGGAAGAGGCATCCCTGTTTCAAATCCCCAGGGTGGTGGATTCATGCCCATTAAATTATACGGAAGAAACTCTACTTATTAGTGTCTCTTTAGCTTTGGAAACTGAGAGTGTTATGGAGGAGCCAAACATGTTTCTTTCTTGATTAGCTAATGGCCGCTTTGGCTGCAGTCGGGCCTCCCAATCCTCACGCCGACCCAGAATGCTGCAGTATCCTACATGGCTTAGTAGCGGCCGTGGAAGCTCTTTGCAAAATCACCGAGTACCAGCACGAAGCCCGGACGTTGTTAATGGAGAACGCCGACCGTGTGGGAAACAGAGGGCGGATCATCTGCATTACTAACGCAAAGAGGTTTGTGACACAAAGACACACACACACATGTTAAAGTCCCAGTCTTGCCAGTCTTGGGACTAAGCCACTGCCAATCTCCCTCACCCCCCCCCTTTCTGATTTGCCTACCCTGCAAAGTTTAGACAGGTAGACCTCGACTTACGACCACAGATGAGCCCAAAACGTCAGTTTGCTCAGTGAGACAGTTGTTAAGACAGTTTTGCCCCATTCTGCAACTTTTCTAGCCACCGTCATTAAGAGGACCACAGCAGGTGTTAAGTACTGACCCGGCTGTTGAGCGAATCTGGCTTCCCCGTTGGCTTTGTTTGACGGAAGGTCGCAAAAGGGGATCACATGACCCCCGGGACACCGCGGCCGTCATAAATATGAGTCAGTTGCCGAAGCGTCTGAATTTCGATTACGTGACAATGGGGGGATGCCGCAACGGTCGTAAGTCCCTTTTTCAGTGCCGTTGCAGCTTCAGACGGTCACTAAGTGAACTGTTGTAAGTGGAGGACTCCCTATGTGTGACTAAAATATGAGCCAGTTGGGTGTGGCCATTTTGCACAGTCCCAGAGCTGATTGGAGAGAGAACTGTCAGTTTGGAATCAAGCGGGACTCTTGGGGAAGATTCATCCGTGTTGTGGGGTTTTTTTGATGCCGTATTAAAGCTTTTGCCTATTCATGGTCCCGATCGTCCCCTAATTCGTAATTTAATAAATTTATATGCCGCTCAATCCTGTAGGACTCCGGGCGGCTTACACATACAAGAATAAAATAAAATATAGGGGAAAAACAAAAACAGATTTAAAATAATACACCATGCACTCAAACCTGGATGGGGGCTGGACCTCATTCAAGGGTCAACAGCCCCNTGTGTGTGTGTGTTATGGGAGGGGGGGTAGTTTGGGGTTGAAACAATACGGGCGGGAGGGGCTCTTGCATTCTTTAAATCAAGCTTCCCACGTTGCAAAGGCAGCTTCCTTTTATTGCAGGTAGTCCTCGACTTACGACCACGATTGAGCGCTTGTTCAGTATGCTTTGCCCCGTTTTGCAACCCTTCCGGCTGCAGTCGATAAGTGGATCCCTGCGGTTGTTAAGCAAGTCACCCTGTTGCTAAGTGAATCTGGCTTTCCCCGTCGACTTTGCTGGTCACGAGGTCGCAAAAGGGGAACCCCACGACCGTCATAAGTACAGAGTCAGTTGCCAATTTTAATCACATGGTCTTGGGGGGTGGGGCAGTGGTCGTAAGTCTGAAAAACGGCCCTGCCGCATTTTTTTTCAGCGCCGTCGTAACTTTGAATGGGCACTAAGCGAACTGTTGTAAGATGAGGACTGCCTGTACTCCGACGTGGAGCAAATTGCCGAGGCATCCCTACAATGAGAGTGGCCCCATGAACAGACCTGCTTGTTTAAAAGTTAACTTGCAATTTAAAAAAAAAAAAAGTTATAATGGTAGCTAGTACAGGTAGTCCTTGACTTATGACCACAGTTGAGCCCAGAATTGATGTTGATAAGTGAGTTTTGACCTATTTTACAACTTTGCCTTGAACTCCACGCACCGTGTTCAGATTCTGCAGGAGTAGGGAGCAGCTTTTACCCAGAAGCGTCTGAATTTTGATCATGTGACCAAGCAACGGTTGTAAGTATGAAAAACAATCCTAAGTCCTCAGTGCCTTTGTAACCTTGAATGGTCACTAAGTGAACTGTTGTAAGTCCAGGAGTACCTGTATTTTATTTTGTGCTTTGAGAGACGGGCTTATTCCATTTGTGCCTTTCGTTCTTCCCAACCTGTGATTAGCTGGGGAAGCGTGAAGGTGGCATGACTTGAACACGTACCCCCCAAAAAGCTTTTCTCCTGCTTCCCTGCACTGAGTTCAGGTAAGGCAAGGAGAGGAGGAGGAACAGCTTTTATCCAAAAGGAAAAACAGATGGCTGCACCAGTAGTCCTCAACATACAACAGTTTGTTTACTGACCGCTCAAAAGTTACAATAGCACTGAAAAAATGTGATTTACGACCATTTTTCACAATTGCAACCTTTGCAGCATCTCCATGGTCATGGGAGCAAAATTCAGGCACTCGGCAACTGACTCATATTTATAACGGTCGGTGGTGTCCTGGGGTCACGTGATCGCCTTTTGCAACCTTCAGTGGGGAAGCTGGATTCCCTGAACAACTGTGTTGCCGACTTAACAACCGCAGCGATTCAAGAACGGCCATAAAACGGGGGAAAAATTTCCTTCCAAAATGTTTAGGTCCGCAGCGGAAATCTTGGGCTCGATTGTTGTCCCAGGTGGAGGATTACCTGTGTAGAGGGAACCTGCAAAAGATTGTGCAGTTCCCCTCTCAGTCTGCTTAACAGGCGTCTTGCTCACAACTGCAGGAAGTGAGGAAGGGGTGTGTCCAAGAAGCCCCCCGCAATTGCAGATTGGTCTCCCAAATCCCGAGCGGTGTGGGTGACAAGCCTTGAAACTAAAATAACCAAGTATGCATTATGCTGTTCTGCAAAGGACTTGCCTTCGTCGGCCTGTTTGATGGTGTCAGGATGCCTGTGTCATTGACCTACCTCTGCAGATGCTTATAGTTTACTAACTTTCTTTAAGTTTTTCCCTTTTAGCTGAGCTCAGGCAAGTGTGCTAAGTTAATATTTACTCCACCCTAGATGTAAACTCCAATCTACTTGAATCCATGTTGAATCTAGTTCAACCTGTCCATGTGGTTTTCTTGTCAACAATCAGGAAGCAATTGACCACTACTGCATTCCTAAGTGTGTGTGAGTGTGTGTGTGTGTGTGTGTGTATTTTCTGCCAGTTCCACAATCTAGTGGCAGGAAGTTGTAGCACCTGGCTGACCTTAACTGATCTCAGAAAAACCAACTAGCATCAGATCTGCTTAGGACAGTGGTTCCCAAACTTTGCAACTTTAAGACTTGTGGACTTCAACTCCCAGAATTCTCCAGCCAGCTCTGCTCTGCTGGCTGGAGAATTCTGAGTCCACAAGTCCACAAGTCTTAAAGTTGCAAAGTTTGGGAACCACTGGCTTAGGACATGATTAAGAAAACAGGGGGGGGGGGGACATTTTTTTTGGTCATTGCTGAGATCTGATAGAATTTCATGGAACTTATGTCGATTTGGAACATAAAATATAAACAGGCATAAAACAACAGGACTGAACAAATCTTAATAGCGAAGTGAAAAATTGCCAGTTGAAATTTAGTAGGTATAACTTTAACCTTAACATCTAAAGTATTACTGGTATAAGGTGTCTGAAAACTTAACCAGGAAGTTCCATATCTTCGTTTTTGTGATCTCCCTCTCCTCAATGCAGCCCCAATAGTTAAATTTTCTTTAAAACATTATTCTCCATGTGTGCAAGAAGCTATCATGCAGAGGATTTTCAATGTTTACTGTCATCATTTACATTTAACAGCCTCATTTTTAATTGATGTAGCGTTTGCCTAAAATCTTTCATTTAATTTGTTGTAGAAAGAAAATGAAGATTTTCTCGGAGTCGCACAAAACAGTTTTTGTGGTAGATCACTGCCCCTACATGGCAGAATCCTGTCGACAACATGTTGAGTTTGATATGCTGGTAAAGAATCGGACACAAGGAATCATACCCCTCGCCCCTATATCTCGATCCCTCTGGACCTGTTCAGTGGAGTCCTCCATGGAATACTGCAGGATAATGTATGATATATTTCCTTTTAAAAAACTAGTAAGTAACCCTTATCTTTTATAAACAATAAGGTTTTGTAAGTAAGAGGTTCTCTGCTACTCTTCTAACTCATACTAAGACATGAGTTTTGGTTACCACGATTATCCACAATTAGGGTTAAGTCAAATCCCCAAGAATCAAATAAAGACTTTAGTATGAAATCTTGATTCTGTCTAGTAACACAAGGGAAATAATATTCATCTCAAATTCACTGGAAGGTTCTGTTTACCAATTCAGTTGAGGCTCCTAGGCTAACACACTGTATACACCNACAGGTAGTCCACAACTCACAACAGTTCGTTTAGTGGCTGTTCGAAGTTATAACGGCACTGGGAAAAGTGACTCACAATTGCTTTTCACACCATTGCAGCATCTCCCATTGTCACGTGATCAAAATTCAGACCCTTTGGCAACTGACTCATATTTATGACAGTGTCCCGAGGTCCCATCATCCCTTAACAACTGTGGCAAGAAAAGTCATAAAATGGGGCAAAACTAATTTAAGAAATGTTTCACTTAGCAACATAAATGTTGGGCTCAATTTTTTGTGGTCATAACTCAAGTACTACCTGTACCGAAAACCATCATTCTTAATTAATTTGATCCTGAATCCACATAATCCTTTCTCCATTATTAACTTTGGAATCAAGTTATACATTAGCAATCAAATAATTGTTAAGGAGAAATCTCCCTCTAGTTCAGCAGACTTCCTGGTGATTATACTGATGTGATTCTTCCTCGGGAATAGGAAAGAAGCATTTAATCATAGAGCATTATTTTTTTCCATTTTTCCAGATCAGGATAAAACAGTGACAAAACTGTTACGAATGGAAAACTTAACAGCTTTTCAAATTCAGATTAGAAAAAAAATGCTATTCAACAGAGCACTGGGATATACAGTTGCGTGTTTTAAAAACAATCTTAATGAAAAACATATTCACATTCTCTTTTCTAAAATTTGGTGTTTTTTCCCCCCCTTCCTTTCCAGTGATAGCCATGTACGAATGCTTGAGGAATTTGTCCAGGAAACCATACACGAACACAATAAATTAGCGGCTAATTCTGATCAGTAAGTGCACGAATTAATAGCATTTTGGCTGCATCTTATTTTGGGAATGTGTAATCCTAAAAACGAAGTGCGCAGTTGCATTGTGGACCTAGAATCTGCATTCTGTTGTGGGACCTTCTGTATGAGTTGCAAAAGAAGTTGAATAAGTTGGTGGTAGAGCAAATAGTACAATATCCAGTTCCATTTTTGATATTTTGAATTGGAGCCTGCAAGATTCCCGGATTTAGGATCTAAGGATTCAATATCCTTTTAATGAAACTAACATTTCTATTCCATCAATATCTTTAACGTTGCTTGAGAATTCGTGCCTATCCTCCATGTAATGGGGAAATGGTGGGCAAAAGCTCCTATCAGAAAATTTGCATAGAAAAATGTAGGAGAGCACGTAGAATATTGATTAAAATTAGAGATTNCTGCATTTAACCACTGCGCCACCTCGGCTCAGTGAGGATTAGGGAACTGAAGGCTAAAACATATGAAAAATGGTTACAGGAACTGGGTATGTCTAGTTTAATGAAAAGAAGGACTGGGGGAGACATGATAGCAGTGTTCCAATATCTCAGGAGCTGTCATAAAGAAGAGAGGGGTCAACCTATACTCTAAAGCACCTCAAGGCCCGAACAAGAAGCAATGGATGGAAACTAATTAAGTAGAGATGCAGCCTAGAACTAAGAAGAAATTTCCTGATAGTGAGAATAATTAATCGGTGGAACAAGTTGCCTCCAGAACAGGGGTGGGTTGCTGCCACTTCGCTTTGCACGTGCTTCGCACTCGCTTCGCTCAGTTTGTGCGTGCTTCACGTGCCCAGTTGCCTATAAATAGTTCACATGCGCAGAACATTAAAAAAAAGGACAAAAAACACATGCTGGCAGCAGTGACTGGGGAACCGGTTTGGAGGCGTGGCCAGCCTGGGTCGCTGCCGGTTCTGTAACTCAGGCCAACATTCCACTTCCAGTTTCCCAAACCAGTGTGAACTGGTAGCAACCCACCTCTACTCCAGAAGTTGTGGATGCTCCAATACTGGAAGTTTTTTAAAAAGAGATTGGACAACCACTGGTTTGAAATGGTGTAGCATTTCCTGTCTGAGCAGAGGGTTGGACTAGAAGATCTCCAAGGTCCCTTCCAACTCTGTTATTCTGTTATAGTTTTTTAAAAATGTATCAAATATTCTTTGGCTTGGCAAGTCACTAAAAATTAAGAATTTAGTTTCAAGCTGTCATCCAATGTTATATTTGTTTGTGCCTCGTGATGTGTTTTGCTTGTGTAAAGTGGCACCATTAGTGGATCCGTTGTCCTTAATTTGATCCAGATTAACCCAAAGTCTCTGTCAGGAAGCTCCATTAGCCAGAGGAACCCTGGAATGTGTGTCTCTGGCATTTGCTTTTCTTTTAGCAATTATGAGGATGTGTTGCATCACAATGCAACCTGGAAAGGGTACTTCACATGAAAAAATGCAAAAATGTGCAGATAAAGACTCTCTTTGAACACCATGTGGGTACCACGTTTCTTCTCCTAGGGATTTATACTTAAAACATTAAAATGCAAGAAATGAAAAGCATATTCAAAAACAACGCACATTATTTTTACTAAAAAACAGTAGCATTGACCTTAAAATATGGTTAGCAACAAAATGGAGAAAACTCTTCCCCAAATCCATAGTTCTGCTTAGTCTTCCTTTCTATTTGTCCCTATGGTAGAAATATGATGACAGAATCAACCAGACTCATGAGAAAATAAAAGGAACCAAAATAAAGAAATCTGCCTAGTTTTCTTACCCTTGGAGGGTGCAAGCTAGGCACACAGTGGTGAACTCCAAAAATTGAAACTCCTAGGACCGTGATGGCAAAACCGATGGCATGAGGTGGCACGCAGAGCCCTCTCTGTGGACACGCGTGCCATTGCCAGCTGCTCTTCTGGTTTCCGTCAGGCACATGCGCGCCAGGCAGCTGATCTTTGCACATGCTGGAGTGCCAGAAACCCAAAGGCCATGTGCGTTCCGGTTTGGGCACTTGGTGCCGAAAAGACTCACCATCACCGTCCTTGAGAGCTGGGTGTGCAGGGATGGTAGATGGGTGAGTCAAATCAAACAAAATGACAGTCAAAGCATCATAATAGAAAGCCTGCCTATCCATGTGTATGACATTGATACACATACAAAGGGGGTGGGGCTTTGATCATGATGATGTGACTACTCTTTGACCTGTCTTGATCACCCACAATAGATGCTGCTGCTCTTCATTAGCCTCTGCTTGAATATTAGCTCATTCTGCCTAGTGCAAAATAGTTTGTAATGGACCCCGCCTGCCTGCCTGCCTGCCTGCCTGCCTTCCTGCCTTCCTGCCTTCCTGCCTTCCTGCCTTCCTGCCTTCCTGCCTTCCTGCCTTCCTGCCTTCCT